GGGAACGAGCCAAATATCCGACAACCGGTTATGTTACAATAAATTACTTTTCATCTAACTGGTGTTTTTATGCAAAGCCACTGACAATAAAGTCAATCAACCATTAACACACAAACTCTATGCATATGTTTACTTAGGCGGGACTCCTTGGCGTCACTTTTTAATGCAATGAGAAACAAATACGCATCAAAATATGACATAAAATAACGTATAAAATCACTGTAAACACGGTTGGTTAAATTAGACAAGAGGTACTTTATTGACCCAAACTGGTACATTTCTGTTATTAGGGTTAGGGTTAGGGATTTAGGAATTCACACTAAACTATTGGTTGCATTAAGCCAACAAAACAACTCAGATGCTTTAGTAAAAGACGGTGATTTAGGTTCAAATCAGAACGTTTGTTACCTGTCGTAACTTGTATAACTCTTCAAAATAACGTTGATTTCAGGACAGCAGAAAGCCTTGATATCTTCCTTTTGCAGAGTGAAAACAAACAGGGTTTTACTGCACATTGTAGAGTACTTTTGACTTATTTGAGGCAGATGCAGAAGCACTTAAAATTGTTTGATGTATTGAAAGCTAATGTACTTCTTGCTTTTGTAGTTTGTGTCTTCATGGTTGAAGTCGCTTTCCAGCTAAATGGAGTCTAATGTACACGAACAATGATCTATCCGACACGAATATATACTTTACTGTCGGATAAAGTCTGACATTGTTTATGCATCAAAGCATCTCCATTTGCAGCATCAACAAGGACACATACTTAACACAAACTGTAAGGAAACAGACATTTAACATAATCACTGAAGAGGAACATGCTCAAGACCCTCGTACGTACATCTGACCTGGGATTAAACTCTGTTTGAATTGAGGATTGACGGGTGCATAGACGAGTGCTTCAGTCTAACTTTATTAAATATTGGGACCCTATATTTTGGTGATGTTCAGGATGTACTTTGGGTCAGAGATGATGTTTTTGGACAGCCTCAATTCGATGTTATGGTAGATTGATTCATAGAAAGGTTGAACAATAATCTTTGAGCATATTTTCAACAGGTGGAGCTTCTTGTTGAAAGTCCTAGGATCTATCTGCCAATCCCACTTGATTTGAGTGGACTCTTCACTCTTTTATCTACTGTTCATGTCATCTAGACTAGAGCCCTTTTTAAGGGTCTCATATTTTATTGGCTAGTTTTAGTTTAAGGGTAACTATTTTTAAGCATTTTGAATTTTTACTTTACATACAGTCAACATTTTGAGAATCCTGAAAAAGTCAGAAATCTGAGAGAAAAAAGTCAATTCTGAGAAAAAAGTTAAAATGCTGAAAATAAATTCTAAATTCCGAGAAAAATTTAAATTCTGAGAAACAAGTCAGAAATCTGATAAACTAGTCAAAATTCTGGGGAAAAAAAATCTAAATTCTGAGAAATGTCAGTTATGTATTTTATCGGCTAGTTTTAGTTCAAGGGTAACTATTTTTCAGCATTTTGACTTTTTGCTCAGTGTTTACTTTACATACAGTAACAATTCAGAGAATCCTGAAAAAGGTCAAAATTATGAGAAAAATGTAAATTTGGAGAAAAATGTCAATTCGGAGAAAATGTCAAAATGTTGAGAACAATTTCATTTCTGAGAAAATGTTATTTAATGGGAAGTTTTGAACTGAAGTTGTGAGAAAACCGTGTTTCATAGTGAGCATTGTGTTGCCAAGGCAACGGCATTTGAAGAAATCTTAAAACTGTCAAATATATGTCTTCACGGCTGGACTGTTAGCACACATGTGAAGTTTGAGCACTTTTTGACAATTTTCATAGGAGTTATAGCAATATCGTGTTTAACGGCGAGGGATACGTTGCCATAGCAACAGCTTTTGAGGAAAACTCACTAATGGCACATAGACATGTTGAGGGCTGGACCATTAACCAATATCTGAAGTCTGCTGCTCTGAGCATGTCAGTTGGAGTTATGACATCATCGTGTTCCATGACACAGGTCTTTATATTTGAGCTAACGACGTGTCCAGAGATCAAAGGTTTCCATGGTGACGAGGAGAGCATTTTTATTGTTCAGAATGAGAGATAAACCTCTTACATGTGAACGTTTTGTTGAAGAACCGTAACAGATATCGGTGAAATTTCAACGCATGAAGCATCTGAAGGAAATTGAGCATCTGAAGTGTACTTTTTGTGTACTTTCGAGTTAATAATCTGCCCTTTTTGGCAGATTAACTAAAGGTGTGCGGCTTGCTGCTGTGAGTAAAGATCAGTTTGAATTGGCTTTAATGGAGACATGTTAAAAGTTGTTGTCACTTCATGCCCTCAAGACGCATTTTGTTTAATTATTTTGCTTAATTATTTTTCATTTTTCAAGCTACGAGATGTTTTTCTACGTTTGTCATGGCAAATTATGTCTCAGGAGTGTAGGGCTTGGGAATTATGGCAGGTTAAAACAAATATATGAAGGTGAATTTCAAGCTGTCCTCCACTCTAGCTTTGAGATCACACACTCTAGCCTAATCTGTTAAGCCCCAAGCCTGTTTTTCAGGTTTCAGGCTCGAAAATGACATTCCCAGAACAAATGACCATATCTTCCCTTCTAAAAGGGTTAAATTAATAATCGTTTTTCTCAAAGTAATGATAAACCTGTGAGTTGGATGTAGAACAGTCAGAATCAATATATAGATGTTTTTTATTTTAAAGAAAATTCAGATTGAACATCGTAAAAAACTGTAAATGATAGTGTCCTCCAAAACATATGTTGTACTTATAGTGAAAACTAACCTTGGATGATGGGTTAGTAGACTAAAAGCTTTAGGAATCCAACAGATAATAAGTACCCTGTATCAAGATTGATGCAAAACAAGTGATATTTGACCTTTTTAGACAGATTTAGCTAAAAAACCCTCTTCTGGGGCCATTTGGGTGGATTTTCCATATCTCTGGCCCCCTTCTTCGAATGTGACATCTCTTCCTGACCGTTAGAGCCAATACAATCGAAGGGAAATCGTCCCATAGACTCTCATGTTAAAAAAAGCTGGCGTTTCTGCACATACAATCTTCTGCAGAGTTTAGGAATATCCCTGCTCTGATATCTGGAAACGGAAAAGCAGTTTTATTGCTTATGAATGATCAGAACATTTTCAAAGGGGACACAGACACATTGTATCAACCTATGGATTAACTACACCATCGTATTTATGCCATTGAAGACCAGTTTTGACCAGACAAAGACCAAGGTAAGCCATGTTAGCGTTTTTGGCTACCTAGCGCCACATGTTTTGATGTAGGTTTTTGTTATTTTCTCTGCATATTCTTTCTAATTCGTAATCTTTGAGTGTTGAGGTGGGTACCAATAGATTCTGTGTCTCCTTACGATCATAAACGATGTGTTTGATGTGCAGCTAGGATAAGTAATAAGGGTGCTAGGAGTGATTTTCGGTGCAGTAATAGGTTAGCATTTTTCGCTACGGGCTAATTCAGAGGGTCAGTGTTAGCATTTTTTAGTTTAAAAAAAATAAAAATGAAAAAGATCAGTTAAATTAGTTTTTTCCCGTTATATGGATATAAAACATTCATAGTTTATTAAATATGAAGGTTCCTTAGACGTTGTTTCCTGCAAATGACGCGATTTCGTGCAAATGACGCGATTTCGGCCCCGTAACCGGGTGCGTGGGGCTTACGAGCTGCTCAATACACACAAATGTTAAAATCTGAAGAAGGCCTCTTTACCGAGGTCTGAACAATGTTTAATATCTCTAAAAGTATGAATCTGATTTAAAAGTTGTGTTACACGAATAATATCAGAAAGATGTGTAACATTTTATAGTTGGAATGAGGTTTCTGAGTGAAAGTATGAAGGAGCAGTTAGCAGTTGAACTTGCATGAAGATTTGTCAAGTCTGTAGAGTTTCTCCATTGACTTCAATGTTAAAAATTATGAATTATGGGGTGTAATAAATAATATTATAAATAATGCAATAAATCAAGTAAAGCACTTGTACTTCTCAGCGATTGTATATTTAATTATACACTGTCGTTTGACTTATTCAACTTTAATGGCAATACACACAATATGTCGTTATGGCAACTGGTTGTATACAATTTTCAGCCAAGTTGACTATTCACTGAAGTTTCTCAAGTTTAATTCTGTGGTCAGGAGACTAAAGATCATTTGTGTGCAGATTGGTGGGACAGGCTTAAATATATACCATTAAAGTATCTAAGAAGTACACGATGATCATTCAAGATTCAAGGCTTTAGAGATTTACACACGGCATCTATTGCACGTCTGTCCGTCCTGGGAGAGGGATCCCTCCTCTGTTGCTCTCCCTGAGGTTTCTCCCATGTTCCCTTAAACTGTGGGTTTTCTCTGGAAGTGTTTCCTTGTACGATGTGAGGGTCTAAGGTCAGAGGGTCTAAGGACAGAGGGTCTAAGGACAGAGGGTCTAAGGACAGAGGGTCTAAGAGGGTGTCGTATTGTCATACTGATATTCTGTACAAACTGTGAAGTCCACTGAGACAAATGTAACATTTGTAATATTGGGCTATATAAATAAACATTGATTGATTGATTGATTCCACCCAACAACCAGATGAAAGCTGGAGTCTGAAGAATGACTGTTGTTGGTTTTTTATGATGATAAATAAAGGATGGTTAATATGTTCTGAATTTCTGTTGAATACTTGGAAACTGTGTTGTAGTTCAAATGGCTGGGGTTTGCATATACAATAATTAGAGCCAGTAAATCAAGTAAAGCATTTGTACTTCTCAGCATTTTACTTGTATTTACTGTCGTTTGACTCATTCAGCTTTAATGGCAATGCACACAATATGTCGTTATGGCAAACGGTTGTATAAAAGTTCCTCCCCATTTGAAATGCTGCCGAAATTCAGTGAATACATGTAGATTAGATACTAGATTGATGAGTCCTGGTAGTTGCCATCTGATTGGTCAGTGACCTTGATTGCTGATCGACAGCACCTGTGAGAAATGAGCCAGAAGGCAGTATGTTGAGTGGTGTGGAGTATAAAAGCAGCTTCTTCAGTTTGCTCTAGCATGAGCCACCCTTTCCTTCAACACACAGTCTAATTGTAAAATCCAGCATTTACAATTTCCAGCTTCAAAATGGGTATGTTTTTAACTTTGTGTTCTTGTATTTGCTGAGGGCTTGAGTGTATAGCTCATGTTCAGATTGAATCTAATACATGTGTTTCTGTTCTGATGTGTTCTCATTGGAATCATGTATTTCTTGTTTTAGCGTCAAAGAAAGTGTTGATTGTGTATGCACACCAGAGCTCTGGCTCCTTCAACTCTGCAGCCAAAGACGCTGCGGTGGAAGTTTTAACTGCTAAGGGCTGCACAGTAGAAGTATCTGACCTGTATGCCATGACGTTTAAGGCCACTGCTACAGCTGAGGACATCACTGGTAAATACCTCACTGAAAATAAATAGTTTAGCTTTCAAACTGGTCTTCAGACTCTCAAACATTTATTTTCCCTGCAGGAAAAGTTAAGAATGCAGATCACTTCTGTTACGGAGAGGAGACCAAACTGGCATGGGAGGCGGGAAAGCTTACTGCTGATATCACTGAAGAACAACGCAAACTCACTGAGGCCGACCTCGTCATTTTTCAGGTAGAGCCAGAATGAAAATGTGTTATTCTTTTAAGCCATGCCTCTGTTATGAACTAACCTTAAGCCCTACTTCTCAGTTCCCCATGTACTGGTTCACTGTTCCTGCCATCATGAAGGGCTGGATGGACCGGGTGCTCACACTGGGCTTTGCCTTCACCCACGAGAAGCGCTATAGCCAGGGAATCTTCAAGGTAACAAAGCAAATCAAGAGGTTTGCCTTATTGTGACGCTATCTCTCCCTACTTACAGTAGATCTTGTCTTTTTCCACAGGACAAGAAGGCCATGCTCTCCTTCACCACTGGGTCTCAGGAGTCCATGTTCAGTGCATATGGCATTAATGGAGACATGAATGTCACTCTTTGGCCACTGCAGGTATTTTATTTGGACGAATGATTATCATAAAGCTGTTCCAGAGGAAACTTATTTGTTGTCTGCATCATCACCCATTATTATTTTTGTTACCCTTCCTTTTCCTCCAGAATGGCATCCTGCACTACTGTGGCTTCCAGGTTCTGGCTCCTCAGATCTTCTGGGCCCCCTCTCACGTTCCCTCTGAGGCACGCGGTACAATGCTGGAGGGCTGGCGCACACGCATGCAAGGCCTCCTGGGAGAAAACCCACTTGCTTTCACTCCCTTGGACTGCTTTGATGGGGAGAAGGGGTACCAGCTGAAGCCTGAGGTCCATGAGCAACATGCCGCCAAGGAGTTTGGACTGACCGTAGGGATCCACCTGGGCAAGGCCCTGCCACCCAACAACCAGATGAAAGCTGGAGTCTGAAGAATGAATGACTGTTGTTGGTTTTTTATGATCATAAATAAAAGATGGTTAATATATTCTGAATTTCTGTTGAATACTTGGAAACTGTGTTGTAGTTCAAATGGCTGGGGTTTGCAGATACAATAATTAGAGCCAGTAAAGCATTTGTACTTCTCAGCATTTTACCTGAATTTATATAACACTGTTGTCTCATCAACATTGCGTGGAAGTCGGAAACAGTACCGAAGGAGTGGCAGACCGACGTGGTGGTTCCCCTTTTTAAAAAGGGGGATCAGAGGGTGTGTGCCAATTACAGAGGCATCACACTACTCAGCCTCCCCGGGAAAGTTTACTCTAAGGGCCCGTCTACACATCACTCCAGTTCTGAAGTCTTTACACTGGCTTCCTGTGTGTCAAAGAATAGATTTCAAAATACTGCTGCTGGTTTATAAAGCACTGAATGGTTTAGGCCCAAAATACATTTCTGACCTCCTGCTAAATTATGAACCATCCAGATCTCTCAGGTCTTCAGGGACTGGTCAGCTTTCTGTCCCCAGAGTCAGAACTAAACATGGAGAAGCAGCATTCAGTTATTATGCTCCAAATATCTGGAACAAACTCCCAGAAACCTGCAGGTCCGCTGCAACTCTGACTACTTTTAAATCCAGGCTGAAGACTTTTCTTTTTGTCGCTGCTTTTAATTGAACTATTCATATCTTAGACTAAACTGTAACTTTTATCCATGTACTTTTTCTTTTAATGTTTAATTGACAGCACTGTAACTTTTATCCATGTATTTTTTCTTTTAATGTTTATTTTATTAGCTTTTCTTTTTAATGACTGATTTTAAATGCCATTTTCTTAATCTCTTTCATTTTTTGTAAAGCACTTTGAATTGCCTTGTGTTGAAAAGTGCTATATAAATAAACTTGCCTTGCCTTGCCTTGCCTTGCCTTACACTACAGGCATCAACAAATCTTGAAGCTGGGCGTGTCTGAGGCTTGGCGATTTCTCGTGACCAACAACCAATCACATGAATCTCCCGCCCCCGACATACAAAGAATAGCAATGTTAAAACGAAGTAAACTGGATATAAAATCCCCAAACAGACGAAAACCTACCAGTTTCACCCACTGTCTCTGCCACCTCCCTCCATGCCTGGTTCCTCCACTGTCTCTGCCACCTCCCTCCATTTCTGCTTCCTCCGATTTGTATCCCGGTAAATAGTTCTGGTCGTAAAGAACCGGGTGATTTGCTACCGTAATTTCTCGTTTGGAATATGAGGAAATTAACTGCGGTCTGGCTCTCCCAGCTTGCACGCGGTTTGATTGGCTAGCGCTTGTACTGGCGGGATTTGCATAAACGGGATTTGATTGGCTGATGCCAGCATCGGGAGCATCAAAAGTTGAACATTGCTCAACTTTTGATGCTCACGATGCTTGCAAAGCCATGCTCCGCTCCCCATAATGCAGTTCGGCGAAGATTCAAAATCTTCTACGTCACCCCATTCAAATGAATGGGCGAAGTGTTGAAAGCATTTTTCGATGCCTGTAGTGTAGACGGGCCGTAAGGTACTCGAAAGGAGGGTCAGGCCGATTGTCGAACCTCAGATAGAGGAGGAACAATGCGGATTCCGTCCTGATCGAGGAACGACGGATCAGCTTTTTACTCTCGCAATAATTCTGGGGGGGCTTGGGAGTACGCTTATCCGGTCTACATTTGTTTTGTAGACTTGGAGAAGGCGTATGACCGAGTTCCCAGGGAGTTACTGTGGGAGGTGCTGCGGGAGTATGGGGTGAGGGGGTCTCTACTCAGGGCCATCCAATATCTGTACTCCCAAAGCGAGAGCTGTGTCCGGGTCCTCGGCAGTAAGTCGGACCCATTTCCGGTGAGGGTTGGCCTCCGCCAGGGCTGCGCTTTGTCACCAATCCTGTTTGTAATATACATGGATCGGATTTCGGGGAGGGGGTCTGCAGTTCGGTGGACTAAGGATTGCACCACTGCGTTTTGCAGATGATGTGGTTCTAATGGCTTCATCGGTCTGCGACCTTCAGCACTCACTGGATCGGTTCGCAACAGAGTGTGAAGCGGCTGGGATGAGGATCAGTACCTCCAAATCTGAGGCCATGGTTCTCAGCAGGAAACCGATGGACTGTCCACTCCAAGTAGGGAATGAGTCCTTACCCCAAGTGAAGGAGTTCAAGTATCTCGGGGTCTTGTTCTCGAGTGAGGGAACAATGGAGCGTGAGATGGGCCGGAGAATCTGAGCAGCGGGAGCGGTACTGCAGTCGCTTTACCGCACCGTTGTGACGAAAAGGGAGCTGAGCCAGAAGGCAAAGCTCTCTGTCTACCGGGCCATTTTCGTTCCTACCCTCACCTATGGTCATGAAGGATGGGTCATGACCGAAAGAACGAGATCGCGGATACAAGCGGCCGAGATGGGTTTTCTCCGCAGGGTGGCTGGTGTCTCCCTTAGGGATAAGGTGAGAAGTTTGGTCATCAGGGAGGGACTCGGAGTTGAGCCGCTCCTCCTTCACGTCGAAAGGAGCCAGTTCAGGTGGTTCGGGCACCTAGTTAGGATGCCACCTGGGCGCCTCCCTAGGGAGGTGTTCCAGGCACGTCCAGCTGAGAAGAGACCAAGGGGTAGACCTAGGACCAGGTGGAGGGATTATATCTCTTCGCTGGCCTGGGAGCACCTTGGGATCCCCCAGTCAGAGCTGGTTGATGTCGCCAGGGAAAAGAAAGTTTGGGGCTCTCTGCTGGAACTGCTACCTCCGAGACCGACCACGGATAAGCGGGAGGAGATGGATGTATGGATGTTGTTTGACTCATTCAGCTTTAATGGCAATGCACACAATGTTGCTATGGCAACCGGTTGTATACAATTTTGTTTAGGCTTACCAATGTTAAGTATTGTGACACGACGTCCATCAAACTCCTGTTGGGAAAGATTTCACTGATTGTTAAACTTAGAGCCAAGTTGACTATTCACTGAAGTTTCTCAAGTTAACTTCTGTGGTCAGGAGACTTGACACAAATAATCTGTAACCCTTCATTTCAAACACTTACATTCTGTCAACCCTGTCATTTTGATCTAATCTTTCCATCACCAAACTATTATGCTTTGATCTTAGGTGCTATAACTTTCAAAATAGGCATATTTGTAGAATGCCTTTTGTAGCTCTGCACATTGTCGTCCCAGCTCTAGAATAGTATCCTCGTTCTGATCCTTCAGATCTGCAGGGCCTCTGTGTTAAAAGATGCTTAAGAGACAGGAAAAACCTACGCTGTGTCTCTTTCTGGGTCGGCTAAAATGGGGATAAAGCAAACATTTAAAATGAATGACAAAATGTTTTTGCAAACTGTTCTATTGTAAGTGTATACCGTGTTAAAAACAGGTTAAATCTGCAGCTGGATAAACACATACACATACTTGGCTTGGCTTGTAGAAAAGTTCCTCCACATTTAAAATGCTGCCGAAATTCAGTGAATACATGTAGAGTAGATACTAGATTGATGAGTCCTGGTAGTTGCCATCTGATTGGTCAGTGACCTTGATTGCTGATTGACAGCACCTGTGAGAAATGAGCCAGAAGGCAGTATGTTGAGTGGTGTGGAGTATAAAAGCAGCTTCTTCAGTTTGCTCTAGCATGAGCCACCCTTTCCATCAACACACAGTCTAATTGTAAAATCCAGCATTTACAATTTCCTGCTTCAAAATGGGTTTGTTTTTAACTTTGTGTTCTTGTATTTGCTGAGGGCTTGAGTGTATAGCTCATGTTCAGATTGAATCTAATACATGTGTTTCTGTTCTGGTGTGTTCTCATTGGAATCATGTATTTCTTGTTTTAGTGTCAAAGAAAGTGTTGATTGTGTATGCACACCAGAGCTCTGGCTCCTTCAACTCTGCAGCCAAAGACGCTGCGGTGGAAGTTTTAACTGCTAAGGGCTGCGCAGTAGAAGTATCTGACCTGTATGCCATGACGTTTAAGGCCACTGCTACAGCTGAGGACATCACTGGTAAATACCTCACTGAAAATAAATAGTTTAGCTTTCAAATTGATCTTCAGATTCGCAAACATTTATTTTCCCTGCAGGAAAAGTTAAGAATGCAGATCACTTCTGTTACGGAGAGGAGACCAAACTGGCATGGGAGGCGGGAAAGCTTACTGCTGATATCTCTGAGGAACAACGCAAACTCACTGAGGCCGACCTCGTCATTTTTCAGGTAGAGCCAGAGTGAAAATATGTTATTCTTTTAAGCCATGCCTCTGTTATGAACTAACCTTAAGCCCTACTTCTCAGTTCCCCATGTACTGGTTCACTGTTCCTGCCATCATGAAGGGCTGGATGGACCGGGTGCTCACACTGGGCTTTGCCTTCACCCACGAGAAGCGCTACAGCCAGGGAATCTTCAAGGTAACAAAGCAAATCAAGAGGTTTGCCTTATTGTGGGGTACCTCAAGGCTCCATCTTGGGGCCTCTTCTCTTTAACGTCTACATGCTACCACTGGCTCAGATAATGAAGAACAACAAAATAAGTTATAGCTATGCGGATGACACACATTTACGTAACAATGTCACCAGGAGACTATGCTCCAATTCAAACACTGAGTAAGTGCATTGAACAAATCAATGACTGGATGTGTCAGAACTTTCTTCTTTTAAACAAAGATAAAACTGAGGTAACGGTTTTCGGAGCCAAGGCAGAACGTATAAAAGTTAGCGCTGAGCTTCAGTCTGCAATGTTCAAAACAACAGATAAAGCCAGAAATCTAGGTGTAGTCATGGACTCTGACCTGAGTTTCAACAGTCACATTAAAACAGTTCCTAAATCAGCCTAATATCACCTAAAGAATATATCTAGGATTAAAAGACTAATGTCACAGCAGGATTTGGAAAAACTTGTCCAAGCTTTTATCTTCAGTAGACTGGACTACTGCAATGGTGTCTTTACTGGTCTCACTAAAAAATCTATTGGAAAGCTGCAGCTGATTCAGAACGCCGCTGCTCGAGTCCTCACTAACACTAAGAAAGTGGATCACATCACTCCTGTTCTGAAGTCTTTACACTGGCT